GCCTTGAGAAAGGAAGGCGCAACAACTGTTCCTTGCAAATTTGACTGGTAGAAGGCCCAGGGGACGGCCAATATTGACGTGATGCGAATATATGGAAGGAGTCTGTTCCAGATTCCAGTTTTGTTTTGCCCAAGCTTAGGCTGTGGCACAGCATCGGGAAGGTTGGAAGCTCTGTCTGACGCATTTGCCTCCTGGACCCGAAAGGATAAGCGGCTGTGGAAGGTGAAGATGAAGGAGTGCCATGGAGCCATGACCTATTTAAGCGGTCCTTTTGAGTGTTATAAACAAAAGTACAGTGCGACTGCTCCATGTATATCCGAACTCTGAGTGACGGTATCAAAATCGAGCAATTTGCTGAGAAAGCCGTAATACCGTGGTTAATTTTTATCACAGAGTACAGCTAATGCGAAAGTTTATTTGGTATTTTTTTGCTTTTACTTTATTATTAAGATATTTTTGTAATTATACCGCCACTTGATCTTGAACTGATTTTTAGTGAGTAGTGTTGAAACTTCTAGAATGTTTTTTCACAATCAGCAATAAACTGATGATTTTGCATTTCGTAACTGCTTAAATGCAGAATTCTGTACAGTGTATCTTGGTATTTGACTTATGTACAGTAAAATGGACATTATGAAAATTAATCATTGTGAAATATACATTGTTTATGCGTGCCAGTATGGTATCCCAGCGAATGGCATTTTTTTGAACATAAGCTGATAATTTTGCGTTTAATAACACAAGACCTGTTTCGAAAGTTTGGAGGATTTGATATCGCATTATGTAGCATAGTTAAATATCTTAATGTAATTTATTAATATGGATTATCAAAAGTATTGACTTTGATTTTGATTAACTCGCCGTATTCATTCCCTTCGTTAACCCGCCAGATGCCATTCAGTTAAGTGTTGCTGTGCATAATGTACAACCAATTCGATGTTGTGTACATAACATGGTATATTTGAATATATGCAGTATGTATGCCGTTTTACACACTGTCTATTTCATAACATATTGACAGCAGCAACAACGATTGACTGATCCTTTGTAATTAATGGGCATCACAGTTGCCTAGTCTCGATTCCAGCGCTCCTCTTCATTGTGTGAGTTGTTGTCGGTCGCTTCTTTGTTTTTTGATCTGCTCATCCCATTTGAGCTAAGTTCTTACGTTGAGCTCTTGCAGTCCCGTGAATGCCAGTTCATCACTGCTGCAGTATATCGGTTACCCGTCAGTCGTGCGATGTAATCCGCCGTAGTCTTACCGGAGCTGCACGCAATGAATTGGGAGTAATTTGTGTTTGTGCTTTCCATTTCTTTTATTTTGGCAGATGGTTTTGGCTACTGTCCACGTTTGCCTAGCGCCCGGGACAGATCTTCCGTTTGCCCTTCACCCCGGCTAAGTGGGGCTTTAGGTGACGGCTATATGAAGCTTGGTTCGTTCAGTTTTCCTCAGTGAGCTCGTGTCGCTTCTGGCGGTTCCCTTTTTTCACCAGTGATGGGGCCTATTTTGGTGGAGAATTTCATAATATTATCTAATGTATTATCTGTACACAGCACGGTCGTTAAGAGCACATGCCCGTATGTCTGAATGCACTAATTTCCCCATAACTCGTCCAAGACCAAATTTCACGCCTCTGCCCCGTACTGTGTCCTCATAGTTGCTCATGGCTGGGGCGTTTCAGCAACCCATGGTTTCATGGTACTATGATACTTAAACACGTACGGTGCTAGATGCATTTCGCATTGTTTTATTCGCCAGAGCAACCTTATGCTCATAATTTTGTTGTTTATGTGGTACCATATAAGGAACGCCTGCTCCTGAAACCGTTCTTAATCAACAAAATCTTCGGC